AGGAATGCTACCATGCAGGAATAAAATAAAATTATACCTTTTGAGGATAAGTATAAGAGAGTTCTGGTTTAAGGTCTTTTGAAAGAGTATTGCAGAGGACAACAGTGCCATGTTTCTTTATCACTAATATTCTGAATCCCTATGGCTTACATTAGGATAAATGATCCTTAAGATTTGTTCCATGTTTGCAGGAATTTACAACTGAGAAACCTAAAAAATGCCTTTTTTCTTTAGTGCCTGCTTCTATAGTCTGCCATTCTGTACCCCATGAAATTCACCTGGGTCAATTGTATAAATTTTTAAATGTAAAATAATCTTTTCCTGTTGTATTTATTCAGTTGAATTATTTTTGAAATCAGTGCTTTATTCTTTTATAAATATAAAGGGCCTTCTCTGTGAGGGCTCCAACCCTTTGGAATGAACTGCCCCCGGAGCTACGGAATATCCCTGATCTCCGTGCTTTCCGCCGTGCCCTCAAGACCCTGATGTTCCAACAGGCGGAGCTAAACATATGAACATGTGAATGATTTTTTAAATGTGATCTAATTCTGGGTTTTATTTAATTGACCAAACTAAGTAATAATTTTAATTAGCAATTTTATGATATTTGTGTGTCTATATTTTTCTTGACTGTACACCGCCTTGAGTCCTACGGGAGAAAGGCGGTATAGAAATATAATAAATAAATAAATAAATAAATAAATAAATAAATAAATAAATAAATAAATTAGAGGTTTAGCTATAACTTATATGGGAAAGAAAAATAATAAGAAGAAACAAAGCCAAAAGATATTAGAAAAATATAAGAGGTTAATATAAGAATTTAATAGATAAAGAAGAATTAGCACAAAAAATCAAAAACACTAAACAAAATTTCTTTGAAAATGCAAATAAACCAGGAAGATGGCTGGCATACAAATTGAAAAGGAGAAAAATTGATACATCAATTAATGGATGAGGAAGGAAACCTTCTCCATCAAAATGATGACAAAAAGAAAGTGATCCAAAATTACTACAAAAAATTATATGATCAAGAGACGGTTTCAGAAGATAAAATAAAACAATACTTAGAAAAAGCAGAATTACCTAAAATACCTGAAACAGTGAAAGCTACAGTATGTTAGATGAATGTGTAACAATGATGGAATTAACAGAAGCAATTAAAAGACAAAAGAATGGTAAAACACCGGGTCCAGATGGTCTATCAGCAGAACTCTATAAAGACCTACAAAATATTCTAAATATACCAATGCTAGAAGTGTTAAATAAAGTATTGCTAGAAGTGAAAGTACCAAATTCATAGACGGAAGCATATATCACTCTCATACTGAAAGAAGATTCAGATTTACAACAGATAAAAAATTACAGACCAATATCTTTATTGAATGCTGACTATAAAATATATTTATTTATTAATTAAATTATTTATTAAATTTATATACCACCCTACTCCCGAGGGACTCAATAATAGAATAGAAGATAGAATTCTTTATTGGCCAAGTGTGATTGGACACACAAGGAATTTGTCTTTGCTGCAAATGCTCTCAGTGTACATAAAAAGAAAAGAAAACATACATTCGTCAAGAATCATAAGGCACAACAATTAATGATAGTCATAGGATACAAATAAGCAATCAAATCATACTGGGAATAATAGCAGAAAGACTGAAAAGGTTCTTAAATCAATTTATACATTCAGACAGAATGGATTTTTATCTAAGAGACAAATTAAAGATAATAAGAGAATAATTTTAAATACACTGGAGTACTACGAAGCACATCCAGGGAAGCAAATGGCAATGATTTTTCTAGAAGTACAGAAAGCATTTGATAATGTGTACTGGCAATTTATGCTAGCACAATTAAAAGATACGGATTTTAGGGAGAGATTTATTAACATGATGAAGGCGATATATTATAAGCAAACAGCAAAGGTAATGGTAAATGGAGATATGACAGAGAAGATTAACATTAAAAAAGGTACAAGACAAGGATGCCCCTTGTCTCCACTATTATTCATATTGACACTGGAAATATTAATCAGAAATATGAGACAGGACATAGAGATAAAAGGTATGGAAATAAAAAAGGAAAAATACAGACTACAGGCATTTGCAGACAATTTAGTCTTCATTCTGGAAGATCCACAAGAATCAGGGCCTAAATTAATAAAAATAGAAGAATATGGCGAAGTGGTAGGATTGAAAATAAATAAAAAGAAAACTAAGATATTAGTTAAAAATCTTACAGACTTGCAGAAAAAAGAGTTAATGAATGGATTTACAGATTACTAAGAAATAAAATACATAGGGATTCATTTGACAGCAAGATGTGTAACTATTAAGGAAGATAATTATTATAAACTGATGCAACAAATTAAAGCAGATTTGGAGAAATAGAAAAATCTGCAATTATCATTGATAGGAAGAATAGCTACAATAAAAATGAATATATTGCCGAGACTGCAATACCTATTTCAAACAATTCCGATAAAATTGGGGGAAAAATACTTTGAGGAACTCAATAAAGTAATATTAAGATATATCTGGAAAGGAAAAAAAGCAGTAATAAAGTTAAAAATGCTGCAAGATTCAAGAAATAGAGGCGGCTTTGGTCTACCGAATTGGGAATTGAATTATCAGGCTGCGGTACTCAAATGGGTGAAAGAATGGATTGCATTGAGGCATACAAGACTATTGACTTTGGAGGGGCATAATTTTCTTGTAGTTTGGGGAAAATAAAATACATGGTTACCGTATTTTCCAGCGTATAAGACGACTTTTTAACACATGAAAATCTTCTCAAAAGTTGGCGGTTGTCTTATACGCCGGGTGTCGTTCTCCTGTAACCAGGCAGACCAGCCCGAAAGGCTCTGACGAGCCTTAAATGGCTCTGGCGATCCAAGCTCTGACCATCTTAGCTGAGTTGCCTGCTAATCAGGCAACTCAGCTGGGATCGCCAGAGCCATTTAAAAGGAAAAAACTTTTTTTCTTTTACATGGCTCTGGCGATCCAAGCTCTGACGATCCCAGCTGAGTTGCCTGCTAATCAGGCAACTCAGCTTGGATCGCCAAAGCCATGTAAAAGGAAAAAAGTTTTTCCCCCTCCAGCTTGCTTACCTTAGCTGCTAGTCGCAATGCTTGCCTTGCTTCGCTTGCCTGAATCCATTCCAATAGCAAGCAACTCCCTACCTGCAATCAAGCAAGCAGGGAGTTGTGGACTTCAACTCCCAGAATTCCTCAGCCAGCAAAGCAAAGCTGGCTGAGGAATTCTGGGAGTTGAAGTCTACAAGTCTTAAAGTTGCCAAGGTTGGAGACCCCTGCTCTATTGGATAAGTTTTTTTCCCCTTTGGGAACTTTAAAAAAAATAGTTAATTGGGGTTTTTTTTTAGTTGTTCTTTTTTAGACCTAGCCATTTAAAGTTTAGGAAGTTTTAAATTTAGTTTTCATATAAAAATAAAAATAAAATAAAATAAAATAATATTTGTGCAGCTTTCTGAGATTTAGTGTGTTTCTGTAGTGTTTCACTCTAACTACACAAACACACAAAATCTCACAAAGCTGTATATGGAATTTTGTGTGTGTAAAGTGTGAAAGTTGGGTGTTTGGGCTTTTTGTGGCTGTGTGAGGTTCCTGCTTGTTGCAGGGGCCATTTTGGGTCTAGCACAGCTGCTTTTACATTGTGGGTGAGCCAGTTGATGTTTTTTAAGTTTTATTTGGTGTGCGTTGGAAGAGGGGTAGTCTTATACGGCGAGTATAGCCCAAACCCTATATTTTAACAGGAAAAGTCAGGGGAAAAAACTTTGGTTATACAATAAAATTAGATAAATGGCAGAAACTATGGGATAGGAACTATAAATTAACTATGTCAACTGCATACAAAGAAAATTTATATAAGATGATTTATAGATAGCATTTTGCACCAGTAAGGTTGGCAAAGATGTTTAAAGATAAATCGGCTAAATGCTGGAAGTGCCAGCAGATACCTGGGTCATATTATCATATGTAGTGGACATGGTCAAAAGAAAAAAAATATTGGACAAAAATACATACGTGGCTGGCAAAAATGATAAAGCAGCATATTGATTTAAAACCAGAAATATTTTTATTGGGGATTTTACCCAAAAAATATAGTAAGGAGAATGCATATTTAATTATTCATATATTAACTGCACCTAGAATTGTATTTGCACAAAACTGGAAAAGTGAAGAGATCTCCACAGATGAGAATGTGATCAGGAAAATATTAGAATGTGCAGAAATGAATAGACTAACACTAGCAATTAAGGAGAAAGAACAAACTGAATATTACAAGACATAGGACGTTTTATCAATGGTTAGATAACAAAAATTGAAGTTAGAAACAGGGAAACAAAAAAAAAGATTAATGAAATAAAGAAGATATGTTAAGAGAAAAGCAAATAATATGATTATTATGTTTAATATTATCATTTTAATATTATAGAATTAATGTTAATGTAATGAATATTGTTGTAAATCTTGATTATTTGTACCTGGACGACACACTGTTTAAATGAAGATGGTATTATTATATTAAAAAATAAAAAATGTACAATAAAAAATAGAAGTGCTTACCATGCCTAAATGTACTGCTAAATAAAAATAATTACAGTTATATGTGACTGTCTCTTTCTAGTCAATTTGAAACATCAATCTTGTCCTGGTTTCAGACCAGACTCCTGATTCAATCTAAGTTAAATTATCTACATTTCTGAAACATCATATTGGATACAAACTCAATCTTCTGATCAGTGTTCATTCTTTAGAATTAATAATAGAATGGAAAAAGAAATTAGAGGAAAAAGAAATAACGTGGCAAGAAATCTGGCTAAGACACAATACCAAAGAGCACGTATCATTATACTACCAAAAGAACTGATAGAATAATGGTGCATCTAATTAATCTATGAGTTGAGCTATGGCTCTGTGCATTTGTAATGTAAAATGCAGTCTTATTTTCAAAGAACCTTATTTATCTTACTCAATGGCTTTAATTTTTCTTCATTCCTGAAGGTACCCAAATCTTCTGTAGTACTTTCTGATTTTTCTTCATGTTGGCTATCATCTTCAAAAGATGAGCTGTTCAAAACTTCATCAAAGTCTAATATTTCTTTCAAAGATTCTGCTGAAGATTCTGTAATATAATCATCATCATCTTGGTAATATTTTCTACGATGTTCCTTTTCATAGGGAATTCTCAGACAAATATTTATTTCAAATATTGGGGAATATTCCTCTTCTCCTTTTAGTTCTCTTTTCACTTCTTCTAGGATCTAAAGAGTTATGAAAATATAATAAAAATAGAATATTCTTTCTAAAAAAATCATTCATATGGAACTAGAGAGCATTAAAAACAAAATATTTTCAATCTAAAACAAGGAACAAATAAAAGCAGAAGAAAAATCCATTATTTTTGACTTGATACTAATCAATAGAGAAGACTACATTGTGATAATGTGCTTTTGAATCTGTTGTAAAGCATGAAGAGATTATTGAGAAATACGGAAAATGTATTTAATCTTCATAAGTTTTTTTCATAAGGAACCATGAAAAGATTTTGTATTTGAAGGCAAGATTTTGTCTTTAAAGGTATAACTATAAATAGCTTTCAACATGTATTTAAACTTAAATTTAAATCATTAAATTTAATCATTATTATACATATTATTAAGATAATATGAACTATTGGATAATCTGTATTGTAAAATACCTTCATTTAGAAATCAATTCACCTTGTCTATATCACTGACAGTAACAATTTCACGTTGTGCTTCTGATTCCTTTGAACGGTGCAATAATTTCTGAGTGCCTTCAAAATGCTCATTTTCATATACCCACTGGCATCTATTTTCAGTCAATAAGCAAAGTGCTTTATCAATTGTAACTTTATATGCTCTGCATATGTGAAAAAATGGAAAAATCTTAATTTATAGTTTAAATAGCATAATTCATTTTAATAGCTGACAATACCTCAAGATTACTTAATACATCAAGATGCTGTGGCAGTCCTAGGAGATAGTAAGATGTAGCAATACTAGGAGATAGATATTTAAGACACTCCCAGAATTCTCCAGTCAGAAGGGGCTCACAAATAATGAAGGCAGGGGAGGTGACCATCTTGAGCCATGCACACATGTGAGAGATAAATATAATAAATAAATAAATAAATAAATAAATAAATAAATAAATAAATAAATAAATAAATAAAATTATAGCTTAGTTATAGATATTTCCTTTTTTATAGGAATAAAGCTAGCACATGTAACTCAGAGACAAAAAGGAGAAATAAATTATTATTCATTTGTTTAATTATACAGTATATCCATTTTTATTTAAAATATAAATATTTGGCCCTTCACTTATGTTCCATAATAAGCATTTACTCCAAGAATTATTTTATAATTTTTGTAATAAGTAACCCAACCTTAAAAATAAAGGAAATATAACAGTAACAATAATACTAAATAATAATAAGGAATCTAAGAGAGAATTTGATGAACAATATTATTAAGTAAGAGCCAGTGTTTTAATCATGAAATAGGCAAAACTAACCTCATAAGGCTTTCATTTGTCTTCCTTTTTGAAATAGTCATATTACTGGAACCTTTAAATATCTCCAAAAGAGTATTTAAGGCATTGTTTACCAATCTGCGAAGAAATTCTTGAAAGATTCTATCTACAAGCTTAAGAAACTTAGAAAAGCGTTCCATAACGTGCCGCCATTCAGCTATCTCAAAGTATTTTGGTTTCTCTTTGAAATCATGCAGTGAATGCTGAAAAAGTGTTTCTGCTCCCTTCATTTTTGCCACCTATAGCATTATGAAATAATAAATTTGCAAAAGTAGCAAATATATACAGTATTTTTTCATCATGTAGACATTTTGTATTACTTACTTTTCATCTCATCCTTTTTCAACAAGAAAAACAAAGTTTGAAGACATTTCATACATAAGTATTTCTTATCAGAATTGCCATATAGCAAAAAGGGTGGTAGTGGTGGTAGTGAATAACAACTGCAACCATAGCCTTAGTCAATTGAAAATTGACTAAGTTTGATTACAATACCAGATATCTATGAAACTCTTATGGAAGACAAATCGGAAAGCTGGACTTAAAACCAATCTTACTTTGAAAAAGAGTCCAGAACCTCTAAGAATCAGAAACTTCTAACATACCAAGACAGTCAAATTAAGAATATTATGGTAGAAATGATACTCCACAATCCATTGGCATAGAAAATTGATAGCATTGTCATTGCTTGTGCATGAAATTAACAAGTTGAAGAGACAAAGATCTGTCACATTTCAGAACTCATGTAATTACAGTACAGAGATCAAAATATTAGGATAGTCATATCAATTGAAGATGAAATACCCAGGATTTTTAAAAAGAAAGAGATTAATGATAAGATTAAGAATTCATATCAAATTTCCAGAAATCCTATGAATCAACAATGGGAGGGATGAAATGAGATGTGAAAATAAACTTTTTAGATATGTGCTGTATTTTAACAAATAAAGAAACACAACTTTTTGAAATTGAAGGCCTTTCTTATAACTTTGTGTTGCAATGTTTTCTTACTCAAAGAGCTAGTAGGTTTTGCTATGGCTGCTCCATGGAAAAGTACTGGAATGAGAAAGAGAAATACTACAACAGCCTCACTGATCATGCAAATAGTATGCACATTTTATTTGACAACTATTGCTGGACATAATCATGACTGACACAATTAGAATATGTTAATCATAGGACGTGAGTTATTCAAATTAACAGAAGCATCAAAAAGGATAAAAAGTTGCAGTGTATATGAAAAATGTATGATTTATAGCCTGGACTCTTGAGCCATTGAATGATAGGGAAATGTCTGAATATATCAAGGAAGGTGAGCCAACTGCAGTTTCTTCAAAAATATGGGTAACCAGACTCTGATGGAAGGCAGTGTCTGTGAAATAGACATCATATATGCAAGCTATATGGAAATGGTGAAAACTCATTAAGTCATTATCAGAATGATCATAGTTTGGAACATGTTGTTAGATGATCCTGATCTTATTGTTGAAGACTATGTAAGGGCAGCAAGGATCTGATACTGAGAGAGGACAATTCCTCTAACACAACAGAATCACCAATAGGTGTGTCATGGAAAACCTGAAATTTTTCCAGCATAACTAAAGGGTTATATTCTTTCAGAAATTAATGGTAAAGAACATCCACACTGGTGTGGTAAGTACTTGTGACATCTACCACTATCCTTGTTATCATTTTGTATTTTAAATTTATTTTATATACTTTTGTATATGTAGTTAGTTGCAGTTATATGTATACAGTTAGAACAATTAATCAGTGGATGACTTGCCTATAGAAATTGTAGGTGTTCCAACACTGGAGGTTTTTAAGAAGAGATTGGACCACCATTTCTCTAAAATGGGAAAGGTTTTTCTGCTTGAGCAGGTGGTTGGACTAGAAGACTTCCAAGGCCCCTTCCAACTCTGTTATTCAGTTATACTTTTACATATTTTGTATATGTATGCTGTATGCCTTTTTAATTTTATCAATGAGAGATATAGAGAGATGCATTGATCATTGATGCTGAAGTGTTAGATTACTGCACTATTCAGTGCACTAAGAAGGTAATTGAATAAGATAATATTTATGGTCCTTTCAAATGCAGTTTTCTGTGGCCCTTTTACCTCCAGAAAAATGTTTTTTAGTTACTTCTGAACCAAAACTAGAACTAATCCATCAGAAATAACTTGTATCCTCAAGAGAGAAAATAGTATATGTAGGCATCTAACTTCAAAATCATGCATTAGTCTGCTAAGAATGTTAAAAGGAGAGTAAGATAATTGTGAACAAATTATAAAATATCTTATTCATCATTACTTTCTCCATCAGATCAGAAAAAAATAATTATTGTACTTACTGAGAGTTAAAAGTCTTAACAATATAACATAAGAAAAATATTAAAGTATATTGGAAATATATTCAAGAATGAACATACTCAAGACAAAACTGCAAAAATTATATACAAATTCATTAATTACCTTTAAAAAGCAGGCCTTAATTACTTTTACTACTTTATCTTTAAAAGCTTGGAGTTGAGATAAAGCATGTTGACTCTGTTGATATTGTTCCTCACAAAATTTATCCAATGTGTATGTATAAGACGTATTTATCTAAGAACAAAAGAAAAATATTATAAGTAACTACAATTTCTCTGAAATTGATACAAATTCTTATGTATTTTTCTTTCTATTCTGCATAAGAATAAATATTGGCACATCAACAATAAAATGTAAAAAACAGTACAGTGTGAACAATACACACACATGCAAATATACTTATTAACATATCACAGTTGATATAGCTGCTAATAGTTTTTCCTGCTGCATTAATGGGCAGTCAAAACTTGAGGTGTAAAATTTTGTAAATTTTTAAAATCAGGGAGCAAGTAGAAGGAAAATGTGGCCCTAAATCCCCAGTTTGAAATGTTGTCCATCTGAATGAATTTATTTAGTATTAGACCTGTCACTTGCTGACCCTCAGATGCAAAACTCATCAATACAAAATTTGATGCCTCTAGATATCTTGTCAGCCCAGATGTGTGTGTATGAATGTGCAGAGAGAGGGGGAAAAGGAAGAAATTGAATGGCTTATCACACTTTCAAACTACTATTAATTTTAGTATAAATATTGTAATTAATAGTTGATCAGGAAATTATTAGGAAATATGTCATTTCCTAAGAAGGAATGTACAGTAGCAAGAATGCCACAATGAATGCTTCTATAGTAGAGCATAATCATGAAAGTAAAAACATAGAAACACAACTTTTAATTTGTTTTTCTTTTAACATTTTCTAGTTTCTCATACAAGCAATAAACTTGCATGTAACACAGAATTAAAGCGTGAACCTGAATCAAACTAAAAAATTAGGTAATAACTGAACGGAACAAAACCTGTCAACTCACACTAACAGTTCAGAATAATATTGGTGGTTAGAAATAGAAAACGAAAAAAGAACAGTACATTAACATATGCAAATTATATGTTTCTTTACATTTTTTCTATTCAGGTAATCGTCAAGTTACAATTGGGACCAGAATTTCTCATGCCAAGCAAGGCTGTTGTTAAGTGAGCCATGCCCATTTTTACAACTTTTTTGCCACAGTTGTTAATCACTGAAGCTGTTAAGTGAATCATATTGTTAAGCAAAGCAGGCTTCCCCCATTGACTTTGTTTGCTAGAAACTAGCCAGAAAGATCACAAATGGTGATTACATGACCCAGGATTTGCAACCATTGTAAATACCTGCTGGTTGCCAAGTGCCCAAATTTTGAACATGTGACCCTGGAGATGCTGTGACAGTCATAAGTGTGAGAATTTTTTTCAGTGCTGTTGTAATTTCAAAACGATCACTAAATGAATGGTTATAAATAAATAAATAAATAAATAAATAAATAAATAAATAAATAAATAATTTTATTTCTATACCGCCCTTTTCCCGAAGGACTCAGGGTGGTGTACAGCCTATTAGAAAACACAAAGACAAACATCAGTTAAAAATAATTAAAATTATTACATAATTTGGCTGAAATTTAAAACCCCAAAAATTTAAAACCCAATTTAAAAATCATTAAATAGATAGCCTGGCTTGGCGGAACAGCAGGGTCTTGAGGGCACAGCGAAATACACGGAGGTCGGAGATCTTGCACATTTCCGGGGGCAGTTCATTCCACAGGGCAGGGGCTCCCACAGAGAAGGCCCTCCCCCTAAGTGTCACCAGCCGACATAACTTGGCAGATGGCACCCTGAGGAGACCCTCTCTGTGGGAGTGAACTGGCCGGTGGGAGGCTGTTTGTGGCAGAAGTCGGTCTCGAAGGTACCCAAGTCCTATGCCATGGAGCACTTTAAAGGTGGTGACCAACACCTTGAATCACACCCGGAAGACCACTGGGAGCCAGTGCAGCTCGCGCAGGAGGGGTGTCACGTGGGCACACGGGTTGCATCCATAACCAATTCTCAATTATAAATTGGTTATGGGTTGCGCCCATAACCAATTCTCAATTATAAATTGAGAACTACCTGTATATTTATTATTTGTGTCTTCAAGTCAGTGTTGAATTCTGAAACTTTTTTGGCAAGATTTTGGTTTGCCATTGTCTTCTTCCTAGGGCTGAGAGAGAGTGACCAGCCCAAGGTCATCAGCTGGCTTTTGTGCCTAAGAGGGGCACAATATAGAACTTAGTCTCCCAGTTTCTAGCCTGATGTCTTAACCACTACATCAAACTGGCTCTTCTTCTTCTTCTTCTTTTTTTTTACATATTTAAAATATTTACTCTTACCTTTATGAAATTTATAGTTGTTTTTTCAGATGATCTGGGCTTTTCTGGATTACTCGCATCTACACACGAGGTTTGGAGATAAAGTAAGCAACTTTGCAATATCTCATCAGCAGAAAATAGTTGCTTATACAATATCATTCTACAAACAGAATAATATCAGTATTTTAAATTACTACAAGTTTTCAGTTTATAATAAATATAAGTAGACATATGCTTTGGAATTCTGCAATTCATCTTGAAAGTCATTATCTCACATATTTGGTTGTCATATATGGATTTATTTACTTTGTCTCAATGGTTTGCCTATTGTTCAATTAACAGAAAGATGTAAACTGGATAAGGAAGAATTTGTTAGCAACGGGAAAACTGATTTTGAGTTGGATTTATGTACTAATAATGCATACACTACTATTGAAAATGAATATGGAGGATGAAATGTTAAAGATTGTATGATCAAATGGGCAAGAAATTTTGGTTATAACATAATCCTTGATCAATGAGAGAATATGTGGATTAAAGGACTGAAATTTACACTGAATAATAATTTAAAATAGAGAGATGATATATCATTGGCATTTAACACCAGTTAATTGTCAGAGGGTTTGTATAAGGGTGTGTCAAATACATGTTGGAAATGTATACAATCTGAAAGCACTTTTTATCACTTCTGGTGGCCATGTAAGGAAACTAAGACTTTTTGGAATCAGATTAGTATTTTTAATTCTGACAATTCTTGGACTGAACGTACAATTGAAACCGGAGGCTTTTCTTATATATTACAATTATCTGCATATCTTCTCTATGCACAGAGGTGGAAAGACTCACATATACTCTCAATGGAAGAATGCATGGTGAAATTAATGGAGTTGGTAGAGATGGCAAAATTGACAGCTCTGATTAGGGAAAGATTTTATTTAGCTTTGTTTTTACTTGGAAACAATTATTGTATTTTTTGTTTGAAATTGAAAGAAATGAAATTTTAACCTTGGGTTGTACTATTTATAATGGTTTATTCTAATTCAAAGAGTCATTGATTTTTAAGTTTATATGTGTATCAAGTAAAGTCAAAAGTTACTTTTTTCTATAGTTTTTTCCCTTTTCCCTCTACTTTTTTGTATTTTATATATTTTTTGAAATTTAATAAAGTATTGAAAAAAAGAAAGTCATTATCTGAAATGTAAACACTTGACCTGCTCTCCAGAATAAAAGGGAAGAAATAAAATAATTGTTGATCCTGTGCTCTCTGCTTTTCCTGGAAATAGGAAGAGTGAACTCTTGTTATGACTATCATCTCACACAAAACTAAGAAATTATTTTAAATGTTTTCCAACATTCCAACATTCCAACATGAAACCCCATTAAAATCATTGAATCACAAATTGGATGAGTTAGAGATGCCTGTTTTATATAACATGCAGGTCTCACTGATAGGTGGCCATCCACTTCTTCAATGCAGAATGTTTTACTGTTTAAGAAATGATAGGTAATAGATAGATAGATAGATAGATAGATAGATAGATAGATAGATAGATAGACAGACAGATAGGTAGATAGGTAGGTAACGCTTACTGTCTTTTTTTTACAGTAGACACACTGGCACACATTAAAAATGAAATTATGTTGCTTGCTCTAAAAAGTATACACATATATCTATACCATAAATATAAATGTGTGTGTGTGTGTGTGTATGTATGTATATCAATATATATTATCACTGTGCATCTTGAATACATATCAGAAAGAGGAAGATTGAGTTTCTACTATCAGGAAATACCATTGGTTCTTATTCTGCCCATAGTTCCAAGAGTTTAACAGATCCAACCTTTCTTTATGACAGCCCTTAAATAGGTGTTGATTGCTATCCCTTATCTTTTCTTTTGTATACTAAACATTCTCAGCAAGTGTTCCTCATAGGACTTAGGTTCCAAATGTCTAAGCTTCTAATTCTCCTCTAAACTTGTTATACATTTTCCATGTTTAAAGTGTACCATCCAGAGCTGACCATGGTATTCCAATTTAGTCTAAGCAGTTCAGAGTGCAATGGAACTACTATCTTTCACGGAGCAGCTAACTCCCAGGGTAGCAACAACACAATCAATTCTTGTTGACTGTCTCCATCCCCAGACTCACTGACAAAAACCATGTTTTTATGGCCTTTCAGAAAAGCAATAAGGTGGGGGTCAATTGTACCACAGGGGGAATGATGTTCCATAAATAAATCACTACCAAGAATGCCCATTTTTGTGGTTCTACCAGATGACAATCCCTAATCAATGTGACCATGCATTCTTAGATCCTTAACACATGCACTATTATCCTTAAAACATGCACATATCCTCAATGTGGTAGTTATGCATTTGATTTTTCCTCTTCAGACTGGTGTTTTATATTTATTACTTTTTAAAAGATGCCTCCCACCTGAAAAAAGGGTAATCAACTCACTCAGTATAAATAACTGGTCTTTATACTTACTGGTTTCTTTTTGTTTTTAAATACTTAACAATATTTTTCCAGAGGATAAAATATTTCTTTTTTCTGAAAAGAAAAGAAAAATTTTTTGAGAAAGAGAAACAGATTTGATTGTATAATCAAGGATTATTGAGCCAGAGGTATGTAATTTATTTTGTATAACAATTACCCACAAATATTACACATTTAACATAATTTCATATGACTAAAATGTAACTATTTTAACAAAATATGGCAACCTTCCCTGATGGCTTACCCACTGACTTGCTGAGGAAACCAGCAGAGAAAATGGCAATGTTAATCATATGATTGCAGGGCATTTGACAACTGCAAAAAAGTTGCCAAGCACCCAAAATATGGTCAAATGACTATGGGGAGGGACATGGCATGACCATTTACACTGGCTAGAAGTACTTTACAGACTGTAAAGGACCCATTCTAAGGCCATCATAAATGCAAATGGTTGTATAACAGCTGGTCGTAAGTCAAAGATTACCTACAACTCATTACTTCATTGCCAATTAGACTATTGAAACATGTTATATATGGGACATGAAATGAAGACAACTAAACATCCAAAATTTATTTATTTATTTATTTATTTATTTATTTATTTATTTATTTATTAGTTCGATTTATATGCCGCCCTTCTCTGGAGACTCAGGGCGGCTTACAATGCATTAAGCAATAGCCTTCATACTTTTGTATATATCTGCTTAATAGGGCTTTTTGGCCCCCCCAAGTGGTGTTCTATTTTATACAAAATGCAACGGCTAAAACAATTTGTGCAATCTAATATCAGTACTCCCATTGTCACATCAACCATCTTTGGCTAAGAGAGGCACCAGACACCTAGCTTTGACCAGCCTACTTTTGTGGAGGTGGGAGTGGGGCATAGGGCATGGAATATTGGCTCCATGGAAAATTAAATGTAGCTATTCTAGGTCCAGACAAAAACAAAATATTAAAGTCCCAAACTAAAACAATACCACATAAAAATAAAAATAAACGACACCAGACTAGACCAACATGGTTGCATAGCTCTCTGAAAAGCTGAGGACAAGAACAACGAGTATAAAAAATGAAAACAGGGATATATAACTAAAACAGAATACGAGCAAATAGCCTGAATCTGCAGAGATGGAATAAGGTAGGCTAAGACTAAGACTTGCAACAAATGCCAATAATAATAATAGCAACAAAAAAGCCAAACCCATCAAAAGGAACAAAGTGGGAGTTTGAACAGATACACAAATAAAAATAAATAAGAAATTGATTAAAAACACCTATCCACAAGAACCAGATGGTTTATATCCCACAGTACTGAAAAAGCTGGCAGATGTGATCTCGGAACTCCTGAACAAAATCCTTCAGAGCATGGGGAAACTGCCAGACTGCTGGAAAAGAGATGATATAATTCCACTCTTCAAAAGAGAAAAAAGTAGATCCAAGAAACTATAGACCAATCAGCTTGGTATCAATACTTGGGAAAACTCTTGAAAAGAGAATCAAATAGCAGATTTGTGAACACCTAGAAATGAAAAAAGCAATCACTAGAAGCCAACATTTGTTTGTTAAAAAAGAAATCATGCCAGCCAAATCTTATTGCCTTCTTTGATAAAGTGACTAAATTAGCGGATGATGGAAATGCTGTGGATATAGTTTATTTGTACTTCAGTAAGGTATTTGACATTACTCCTTCTTCAACAGCCTACCTCTTGGTAAGAGAGAACAATGTGGGATAGACTATACCAACACCAGATAGAGTCACTGTTGGCTGGCCAACTGCACTCAGTATGTAGTCGTTAATGAGACTATATCTACAAGAAGGGAAGCATGCAGTGGGTATCTCAAGATTCTGTCATAGGCTTCATAAATTATCTAGATGAGGGAAGAGAAGGGTAACTCATCAAATTTGGAAGGAATTGTCAACACCTTGTCAGAAGATAAACTTTGGTTCAAAATGATCTTGACAGACATGAACATTGGGCCCTAGCCAAACAAGATGCAATTCAGTGGTGAAAAAAGCATGGTCCTGCACCTACTGTAGGCAGGAAAACCCAAATGCACAGATATAGAATAAGTGGTATCTGACTCAACAATAACTGCAAGAGGGAGCTTGGTGTCCTCATGGACCATCATTTAAGTATGAATCAGTAATGTACTGCAACTGCCAAAAAAGCAAATGAAGTCCTGAGCTGCATCAACAGAGGCATAGCATCAAGATCACAAGAAATGATAGTATCACCTGTACTGCACTAGTGTGGCCATACTTGGAATATTGATTTCAATTCTGGTCACCATGATATAAAAAAGATGCTGAGGTCTTAGAAAGAGTGCAGAGAAGGGCAACGAAGATGATAAGTTGTCTGGAAATACGTCATATAAAAAACAGTTAAGGGAACTAGGCATGTCTAGTCTAATGAAGAGAAGGATTACGGATGACACAGCTGTTTTCCAGTACTTGAAGAGCTATCACAGAGAAGGGGTCAACTTATTCTCCAGAGCAATTGAGGGTGGGACAAGAAGCAATGAAGCTTGTTAAAGAGAGATCCGAATTTTTCCTTAGTTCAAAATTTTCTGACAGTGAGAGCAATTAACCAATGGGACAACTTGCCTCCAGAAGTTGTGGGTGCTCTGCCACTGGAGGTTTTCAAAAAAGGATAGGACAATCCCTTGTCCTAGATAGTATAATGTCTCCTCTTTGGGAAAGGGTTATATTGGAGATTTCAAAGTTTTCTTTCAGCGCTGTGATTCTATGACATACCATCTGGTGTAGTCTTAAATCTCACTGCATGTGTTTTGATAGCTGGGCTTGAAATGAAGATGTTCAGTACAGTAGGAAGCTAGCTTTATATTAAGGTGCAAGAAGAAATATCCCTGGGGGATCTATCTATGTTGCTATTTGCGCATATTAAGATTATGTTGTCCTATCTCAAATGCTGAAATAAAAAGTGCTATAAATTGGTAACCCTCAATGTACATTGTGATTTTTGTTTTTTGAAACAAAACTCTGGGAAAAAAATCCCCCATAATGAATTCCCTGAATACAGTTGACTATGAATCTTCTGTCATGAGATTTATTTATCAATTCTATAAAAAGTTTTCTAAACACTTCTGATATAGAGAAAAGTGCAAAAAGGAAAGGCTTTGAGTTGGTAATCATCTTTTGATGCATAACAGAGAGTTATGGATGAATGAATATGGGGAAATGAACTTCTATAAAAAATCTGTATAGCTGCAAAATGCTAGAGTTTCCACACTGAACTGTTTTGTCACACGTAGCCAATCACATCATCCAAAATATCCTACTATAGATTGAGTTAACAATTGCAGACATATCTTTGTACCATAAATATCTCTTACCTGAAATTAAAATATAAATCCATGCTATGTAACACATTATAAAGTTGCCTTTCATATAACCATTCCATTACTGGACTTATTTCCATTTCTTGTTTTCCACACACGGAAGTGAACTGGAAAATGAGGCAAAAACTAATTAGGATATTTAACTATATTTCAGTATTTATGAATTTACATTCCATTGTTGGGAGAAATATCCATCTGCTTCAGTTTCAAGCTGGGAGAAAGACACTGGAGACAAAATGGAGGCTGGAGGCTGATTGGAAAAATGGTCCATTTATTGATGAAGCAGAAGCACATGGATGGTTCTGGGCAACTGACCACATGGAGTTGAGAGTGGGTTTTTTTTTATACCTTCTCTTGGGTTTTGCACTTCAGCTTCCTGTTCCTGTGCAAAAAATGTATTCTATTGGCTGTTGTCAGACTCCCATGGGGCATGTAGGGGTTATGTAGGGGTCATAGCTGAGGTTGTCTGAGCTCCCAGGTTTAGTTAAGTTTGAACTGCTGAGATGATGCAATAAAGAGGCTTTGGGCAATTCCTATTGTGGCTGAGGGCTAATCCTACCTTTGTTGGATCTTGGGTGAGGGTATTTGCTTATGAAGAGAGCTATCTATCTCTTTAAGTCCTGACATTTGCTGAGGGCTATTTAAAAAGGTGAGGGCTGCTTTCTGTCTCCAAGAGCATATTTCTCCCTTTAGGGAAATATAATATTCTTCCTTTTTAATAATTCATAAAATATTTCATTCTTCAAGGAACGGGTTGGGTCCTAACTTTCTACACCATCATCATAATTTTTAAATAATTTTTAAAGGAAAATCTGATTGCTCAGATTTATAGCACATTCCTCAACATTCCTGCCAAAGGAAACCACAACAATATTTGTATAAAGCAAGAGTGAGTAGCATCTGGTCCACAGACTATGTACAGCTCCATCTGCATCTTAGCACCTCAAATTTATATTAAAGTTTGGTGAGAAAATGGCTTATTTTTTTTTACTTTTCAAAATTAAGGGTGGGGATGGAACCTGGAAGCTCTGAGAGCTCCAATTCAAGCCACTTAAATTCCCATTCTTAAATTCCCACCCAAAAAGCGGGGGGGGGGACCCTGTTTCATAATTATGCTACCAAAATTCAGCACCAAAAATTAACAATTATTTTTGAATTTTGCAAAGTGATTGTTCAGAATGGAAGCCATTTGGCTACAAGAAACCTACTGCTCCTATTCTCATTATTACCACTCTACCCCATGGAAGAAATATCATAAACAATTTAATACCACCACTTCTCTTGCAGTTTTCTAATTTCAGAAGCTAAATATTGATAATGATCACTAATTCCTCAAATATTACTTACTCCTGAAAGATAAATAGACAGCAGTGACAGAAAACTGAAACTGAAAAATCTGTTCTGCTCCACTGCATTGTAATGTTTCTATATTTTTACCTTTAGAGGGTGCTGGTGAATTACAAAAAGAATAAATAGTGATGCAGCTATCATTCTTTGCAGTTATTTTTTTAAGGATGGGGGGGGGGAGAATACTGTACACAAATTATCTTTGTGGCCTGCAAACCCACCCATACTTTTTTATTCAAACCCTTTTATTTTTATCAATTTTGTCATTAAATAATATACATAAGTATACCCAATATGATGGGGACCAGCCGTCTTTAACAGTTTCTACAAGATAGCTGGAGGGTGACGTCACTTGGCATTTTATTGGAAAAAACACTTTCTTGAGAAAAAAAATATATAGTGGCTCAAATGGACATGGTATCCCAAAGGCAAAAGAATGAATAAAAAGCAATGTTTTATCCACTCTTCCTTGTTCTTGTTGGGAGGGGGAAGTAAAATGAGCAGAGCTGATATTTTCAGAACACTTCTATTCTTCTATTCTTTTAGAGTTTACATTAGAGTTTTTCATTGTTTGTCTCGGCCAGTCCACCCAACTGCACTGGAAACAAGCCAACACCAGAACGGAATAAAGCAGTTGCAATCCTTTAATTAGGTTCAGCACAGCAAACACAGGCAGGAGAAAGGCACAAGCCGGAAACAAGGTTTAAAGTTAGCGCTACACGCAATCGCAGTGTAGCGCCTTTTATATACACAGCAATAAATCAAGTGGCAATTAAACAGTTAACATCACCCCTCCTTCCCCTAGCTGGCCTGAAGGAGGAGCACAATAAATCAATTAACAATCAAACAGTCAACATCATCCCTCCTTCCTCAAGCTGGCCTGTAGGAGGAGCGCGCCTCTGTTACAGCACAAGGCAGCGTCATCTGCAAACACCATGGCCCCCCCATCTCCGATGAAAGAGTTTGCTTCGTTTTGTGTGCGGGTGGTAAAGACTTCTCAAACAGCTGATGACACACCCCCGGAGAGTCCAACAGCTTGCCCCCTCCTCCTCGTCCTCCCTAGTGATGGCGAGACCCAACCGAGGCTCGACAGTTTGTTCAACAGTTCAGAAGCACAGTCAGAAAAAGGTCAGAACCGGTCTGACAGTGCTTACTGTTCTATTCTTGCACAAGCTGTCCTTCTGAAAAAACATCTACGGAGTACAAGTGTGAATTAATATTTTTCAACTGCTTGTCTGTGTTTTGTTGTTATATCTTTCCTCAGGGAAATGCAGATAAAGTTTTATTTTATTTTGTTATTTTATTTTATGCTTCAATTCAATTGAATTCTAAGGCATGAACTACTGCACAAGGACTTTACATTTCTACAGAAGTATAGGGAAAAAACTAGAAATAAGAAATAATCAGGAAACAGTAATTTACTATTTCTGGACTGTGAAAAGCAATTTGTTACCTTGGATACATATGAGGCACTAATAGTCCAATATTCTTTACTTTGTCTAGCCATATTTGCAGAGACTACTTGAAGATCATATGGATTGTAGGTTGCTTTGGGATCATCCCTACTTCTTATAAGACAGTATATGTATTCTCCATCATCTTTCTTTAATGTGTCATCCTGAAAACAGTAATCAAGTTGTTAAACGTGAATTATTTATAAAAACTAAAATTGTTAATACTCAGACATCATAATTCATTTTGTTAAAATATATAGGATATACCATAGTTGAGGCACTTATTTAAGTTGAACTGATGTAAAATAAAGTAAAATGTATTTTTACATTTTAAAGGTAATATTCAGAAAAATTGAAACAGGTTCAGAGAAAGGTCCTGAAATCCAGATCATTTAGAATGATCGGGAACTAGAAACCATGAAGTGAAATTAAAACAACTAAGCGTTTTTGCTTTGCAGAAAGATGATAGCAGAGTGTAATGGTACTCTTCAACTACCTAAAAGTAGTCCATTCCAATGATTATATACAATTATTAAATAAAATGAATAAAAGATCAAGGAAAACCATAAATTCTACTTAGGAAATAGGAAGAACTACATTGTGGAAGCTTCAATAACTTTAGAAAGTGTTTTCAAACATTTCCTCTCATTCAGCAATCAGTATAATAAAATTTCCATCAGTATTCTATTTCTCCTCCATAATGCATGAAACATTTGAAACCATTTTATAAAGAACTTCTTTATTCAATTTAAGCATAGTTCTTAACCAAAATTTTGAGATGGCTTTAAAAATAATTGTTGTCTTTGTAATGGTTCTGCAATCAATTAGATATTGACAGAGTCACAGGAACCATGAAATATTTTCATACATTGGCTGTTCCAGCAAAATCAAGTTCTGTAATTAAAGAAAAACTAAATTATTTCTTGGGTAAATGGTTTTAAAATCTTAAATAAACTATATCACAGGTGTCAAACTTGCGGTGTCATGTTGCCATCACAACACTGACAGAGTTTGTTGCAAAATCAAATCCAGAAAGCACACACAGATAAACTGATTCAGCAGGCTTCATTAACTACTTTATATACATAATAACACATGAAGTAATATATACAATACCAAAAGTGGTTCTTCAGTTTCAGATCAGTTCAGAGAGGCAGACTAGACTACTTCAGACTTGTTTGCAGCTTCAGAGCTCAGAGCTTAAAATCTAAGCGACGCTCAGACTTCTTGCTTAAGTTTCTGTTTCTAAACAGCTCTCATTGGCTGACCCAGTTGCTATGCCTATTCATTGGCTCACTTTGTTACCATGTCTTCCCAGTCATGAATATTCTGACAAACATATTTTGCGATGTTTTTTCCCTTAATGGAGCTGGGTGGGCATGCATGATGCATCCAGCCCGCGGGCTGCCAGTTTAACACTTCTGATCTACATGTTTAGATAAACTACATAAGTAGCTGTTAGCATTTCCTGAGGGAAGGTATCTGGTTATCTGGTTAATTGATAATCAATTATCAATTGGTTAGGAGCATTAATTGAGCATTAATAAATCCAGTACCCTTTGTTAATAATTTAATCATGTAGGACCATTTACATTCCAGCTAATAATTTTTCTTTTGGTTTCTTCTCTCACTTGTCCCTCTCATTCCTTCTTGAGCAGTATTCTTTAATATTTAATTAAGCCACTCAAATGTAATTCAGCTATTGTATTCTATGAGTGGCAGAGCAGAACTATAACTGTCTTTGCTTGGACCTCTGTGTTTGGACTAACTTCATGCTAACAACCAACCTAAAAAATATATATAGTTAACCACGTTATCTCCTAAGTTTTTGTATTATTTCTTTGAAAAAAAGAGAACCAAGACTATGGTCTAGAGAAAACACATAACTATTATTGCCAAGGGAAACAATAGCCATCAAGAGAACAGATGTTAGGGTCTGAAGGAAGAATCCCTAGTTTTCCTACTAAGCCAAAAGTGCCACCTATTCAATTGTCTTTTACTTTAGCCAAACTAGTACATTTCATGCAAGAAGCAGGTAATGAAAATCTAGAAAGTAGAGTCCTTCAAATATCCAGAACTGCAGAGCTATGTTTGAAGAACAAGTGAAAGAAACCATATTAACTTGGAGTAAAAACTTTGGTTATAGCATCGATTTAGACAATTGGCAGGAATTATGGGAAAGAAATAGAAAACTTACTTTAGCTACCACGTATAAAGAAAATCTATACAAGATGTTCAATAGGTGGCATCTCCCACCCACAAGACTAGCCAAAATGAGCAAAAATCATTCACCAATGTGTTGGAAATGCAAGGCAATGCCAGGGACTTTTTATCATATGTGAGCCAAAAGCCAGAGACTTTTGGTATCAGATAAAACAATGGCTGGAAGGGATATCAACGTAAAATATAGAGTTAAAACTAGAACTTTTTTTACTGGGTATTACAATGGACAAATATGACAAGGGAACAATATATCTAATGTTACATATTCTAACGGCAGCAAGATTGGCCTTCGCACAAAACTGGAAAAATAAAAAGACCCCCTCAGAAGTATTAGCTAAGATATTAACTTGTGCTGAAATGGACAGGTTGACTTTGGAACTACTCAAATATAAGAGTGAAACAGAATATTACGAAATCTGAAATAAATTGTATTATTGGTTGGAGAGGAGGAGGAATGCTGGGATAAAGGATCATTGATGAGTTGAAAATTTAGAAATCTTCTGCGATAGATAAGAATGAAATTGGTATTGATGTAACTTTTATAGATGAAAGAATTTACGTGTTTGAATTGTGATAGATGGTATATACTTGTATAGCAAAAAGGAACGGTATTTGTTGCAATGTAAAACTTGACGGAAATGTCTAAACTGGAAAAGTCACACCATGTCCAATGTTTTTAATTGTATTATTAATGAAAAAACCTTTTTAAAAAATATCCAAAACTCAGTAAAAGACATGCTTCTAAGTTCAGCCATCTACCACTAAGGTATGGGAAATAATCTAGGAGCTGCATGCTAATACATTCTTTTAGTGGTATAGAATGACCCAGTAACATTTCTCTGCAATGCTGTGCTAGATGCTCTAATAGATAGACAAGGGTTTCAGGTTTAATGATCTTCCTAAGATTTGTGTGTCAGAGAGACAGCATTTCTTTTTTGCTCCTTTACTATTAAAATGAAGGAATGTAGCCCCACAACAATAAGGCTCAGAGCCATAGATGATTGTGATGATGATTTCCACTACTGCCTTGCTGTTATATCTTCTATTTTATATCTTCTAGAAAAAAAAATGAACAGATACAAAATCATATCACAACTATTTCACAAAATCTTCAAACATTTGTTAGACTCTTTGCTCCCAAACCTCTGCCTCCTTATTTTCACTATGTCTCTTATTACCTAGCCATTTGTTTTACAAAGAACATAATTTATTTTGATTATGTTTCTTTCAAGTCAAAATACAGAAAAACTTCAGAATCTCCCAAGGCCTTCTCTTTTCCCAAAAGTCCCTTCTGGTATCTTTTTCTTCCTCCTTCCTCTATTTTAGGCAACTCAATTTGCTAAATTTAAACTTCTCTAACAATCCTCATATAGCCTGAAGCCAGAGAATCTGAATTTAATAACTCCAGCCTTGACGGTCCCTTTACTAAATATTTGAGATTCATATTGTTTACATCTATTTGGGGTTTAATTTAAAATATATTTTATTTTTATTCTACACAAATATTTTCACTTCAGAATTTGATTGCTATTGCCAACATGATTGCCAACGTCTGATGACGGATATGGCACAAGAAGAAGAAGAATGGTAATAGTATTAGAATGTCCTGTATTTTTACTATTTCACACATAAGGTATTTTTTTTTATTAAACTTTATTGAGGTTTTCTTTTAAAAAAAAACAAACAAAAAGCAAAGGACAAAAACAAAAGAGAAATAAGAAGAAAAAACAAACAAACATTCAAACAATAACATAAAACAACATATACATAATATAGCTTTTCAATTTGTATCGGATGTGACTTTCCCGCCGCCTTGAAAGAGGCGGTGGTGAGGCCTCTCCTCAAGAAGCCTTCCCTGGACCCGGCAATGTTGGTAAATTATCGTCCGGTCTCCAATCTTCGCTTTGTTGCGAAGGTTGTTGAGAGTGTGGTCGCGCAACAGCTCCCCCAGCACCTGGATGAAACGATGTATCTGGATCCGTTCCAGTCGGGCTTCAGGCCCGGGTACAGCACGGAAACGGCATTGGTCGCGTTGGTTGATGATCTCTGGAGGGCTCGGGACAGGGGGTGCTCCTCTGTCCTGGTCCTGTTAGATCTCTCAGCGGCTTTTGATACCATCGACCATGGTATCATGCTGCACCGGTTGGAAGAGTTGGGGATGGGAGGCACTGTGTTGCGGTGGTTCTCCTCCTTTCTCTCTGACCGGTCGCAGTCTGTGTTGACAGGGGGACAGAGGTCGACCCCGAGGCCCCTCATATGTGGGGTGCCGCAAGGGTCGGTCCTCTCGCCTCTCCTGTTCAACATTTATGTGAAGCCGCTGGGCGAGATCATCCGTGGTTTCGGGGTGGAGTACCATCAGTACGCTGACGACACCCAGCTGTACATCTCCACCCCGGATCACCCCAACGATGCCCTTGAAGTGATGTCCCGGTGCCTGGAGGCCGTACGGATCTGGATGGGGAGGAACAGGCTCAGGCTCAACCCATCCAAGACTGAGTGGCTGTGGTTTCCGACGTCCCGATATAGTCAGTTGACGCCATCACTGACTATTGGGGGCGAATCATTGGCCCCCACGGAGAGGGCTCGCAACTTGGGCGTCCTCCTGGACTCACGGCTGTCTTTAGAAGAGCACTTGACGGCCGTGACCGGGAGGATTTTTCATCAGGTTCGCCTGATTCGCCAGTTGCGTCCCTTTCTGGATCGGGACTCTTTACGCACGGTCACTCATGCCCTTGTCACCTCCCGCCTGGACTATTGCAACGCTCTCTACATGGGGCTCCCCTTGAGGAGCACCCGGAGGCTCCAACTGGCGCAGAGTGCGGCCGCGCGGGTGGTAATGGGAGCGACATGGCGTTCCCATGTAACACCTCTCCTGCGCGAGCTGCACTGGCTCCCGGTGGTCTTCCGGGTGCGCTTCAAGGTTTTGGTTACCACCTTTAAA